AACAAATCTACTTTCAGCATGCAAACAAGCCAGGGAGATGGTTAGCCCACAAACTTAAGAAAACAAAAGAAAAAAGATCGATACACCAATTAATGGACGAGGGGGGCAATATGCAAGAGGAGATAGAGAAGAAAAAAGAGATCACTTTTAAATACTTCGGGAAATTATACAAAAAAGAAGAAGTCTGTGAGGATAAAATAATGAAATACCTGGAGGAAGCGAATGATAAAGCAATTGGAGAGGAAGAGATAGAATTATTAAACCAAAATATAACATGGTCCGAACTGAAGTCAGCAATAGAGAAGCAAAGTAACAATAAAGCACCAGGACCGGACGGGATACCGGTAGAACTTTACAAAACAATCATAGAACAAATTGGACCACTGATGCTGGAAGTATTTAATGAGGTACTCTTAGCAGCCAAGATGCCGGACTCGTGGAGGGGAGCCTTAATTTCGCTGATCCCGAAGGAGGACCTAGACCACAGACTTATTAATAATTATAGACCAATTTCACTCCTGAATGCAGATTACAAATTATTCTCTTCTATAATAGCTAATAGATTAAAACAGGTTTTAAACACTTATATCCATGAAGATCAAAATGGATTTCTCCCATTTCGACAAATTAAGAATAATTTAAGAACAGTGATAGACATTTCAGAATACTATGAAGCACACCCGGAAAAACAATTTGCATTTATGTTCTTGGATGCTGAAAAAGCATTTGACAATTTAAATTGGCATTTCTTAATTCAAAAAATATATAATATGAATCTTGGCACCAGATTTGAAAATGTCATCACAACAATTTACCACACTCAACAGGCAAACATTCTAATAAATGGGGAACAAACTGGCCCGATAAAAATAGAAAAGGGGGTAAGACAGGGTTGCCCTCTCTCCCCTCTGCTTTTCATATTCGCCCTAGAATCTCTTCTGACGTACATTAGGCAAAATTTGAGAATTAGAGGTCTGAGAATCAAATCAGAAGAATATAAACTACAGGCTTTCGCTGATGATTTGGTTTTTTTTCTGGAGGAGCCTATAGAAAAAGGACACAACTTATTAGAAGAACTAGAACGATTTGGAGAAGTCGCGGGATTTAAAATAAACAGGGGAAAAACAAAATTAATGACTAAAAATTTAACAGGAGACCAGAATAAAAAGCTAGAGACAACAATGGGAATACAGGTGACAAAAAAAATTAAATACTTAGGAATTTGGCTAACTCCACAAAGTAAATCGTTAAAAGAAAATAATTATGACAAACTTCTTCAACAATCTAAGAAAGACTTGGATTTCTGGAGCAAGTTACAACTTTCCTTATTGGGCAGGATTGCTTTGATTAAGATGAATATTCTGCCAAAATTTCTATATTTATTCCAGACAATTCCAATCAAACTAAATAAAAATTTTTTTATGGAACTAAACAAGATAACATTGAATTTCATTTGGCAGGGGAAAAAAGCTAGGATTAACGTAAAAGCCCTACAAGATTTGAAAAGCAGAGGAGGGTTAGCCTTGCCAAACTGGGAAATATACCATACGGCAGCCACCTTACTATGGATAAAGGATTGGGTAAACCTAACCAACAAAAGAACACTAGTATTAGAAGGCCACGATATGCAGAAAGGATGGCATGCCTTTCTGTGGGAATCAGGGAAACCCAGGCAATCATATTTCCATAGGCATCTTATTAGGGACGCTTTATTAACTAATTGGAAAAAAGTACGTAAAAAACTTTATCTAAAAATACCGATTTGGCTGTCTCCAATGGAAGCGATAGTACACCCTAATAATTTGGATATAACCAAAATGATTAAGTATGAAAATTTATTAGACCTACAAGGAAAGTTAAAAACACGACAAGAATTACAAGAATGAGGATTTATAATTGATCAGTGGGTGTACCTTCAAATTCATAGTAAATACAAACAAGACATTAAAGAATTTGGAATCTACAATAAATTACAGACTCTAGACAAAATTCTATTAGGACCAAGTAAAAAAAATATATCTAAATTTTACAAATATTTATTAGAAACAGAACTGGAACAAGAAATTGTCAAGGGAAATATGATTGCGTGGAGCAGAAATGTGGGTCGGAGCATTACCCTAGCAGAATGGGAAAAGGTCTGGAACAGGAACATTAAGATCACGAAATCAGCAGCTTATAAAGAAAACTTATATAAAATGTTTTATAGATGGCACCTGCCTCCTTCGAGATTGGCCAAGATGCACCCCAACACGAGCCCCAAGTGTTGGAAATGTCAAAACATAGAAGGTACCTTTTTCCACATGTGGTGGTCATGCAAGGAAACCCAGAAGTATTGGCAAAAAATTAGGCACTGGCTAGAGGAAATAACCATGGAACAGATTGAGTACAAACCGGAGTCCTTCCTTCTAGGAATTTTTGATAAACGAATATCCAAAAAATCAAAGTATATTACAATCCATATCTTAACCGCGGCCAATAATTATTTTTCTAATAACTGTGGCTATATATTTTACGTTAAACTTAATGACTGTATGTAAATGTACCATTATTACTTGGAGACTTGTAATTCATGAAAACATAAATATGGAGAGAAATTACAATATGTCAGAGGTCAAATGTATTGGCAATGTGGGAAAAGCATTATTATTCTGATAGTATAAGAATAATTTAGAACTAGCCTGTTTCTTTTCCACTCTTGCTTGCTGAACAAAGGAGAAGGGGGAGAAATCTTCATGTTTCAGTTTCAAAGCTTCATTTACTGTAAAAATCTCACTTTTGATTTCCATCCCAGATTCATGAGCCAATCAGTCAAGGTCAGGTCTTCCAGTCTCCTGTGCATAAGGCCATGAAATCACAGTGCCAAGTTTTGATAAAACCTTTAGGATTGTTAATTGGGGAGCTTTGCAATGGAACCTAGCACTGGGTACTGTTAATAGCATCTGTACTATCATTAAGAAACCCTAGGCAGCCTTTAGATTTGGATATTATCTTGCTGCTTATATGTGCTTTTAATTCTGTTTGCCTGAGCTAATAGCAAAGCTTTACATCCTTTTATTTACTAGTGTGCTTATTATTTTTGGAACAAAAAGAACCAAGTGCAATTTACAGGTGCATTTCATTTTTTAGCTTTAGTTGAGAAAATTTGTTAAAATAAAACTCGATTTCTCATTACTCTCATAGACATGCAGATTATCTAAAGCAGAAGTGTCAAACTTGTGTTGTTGTGGCATCATCACATGACATATCGCAACTTTTTTCCCCTTGCTAAACCGGGTATACGCATGGCCAGTGTGTGATGCATCCGGCCTGCAGGCCATGAGTTTGACACCCTTGATCTAAAGGCAATTTTTTCTTCTGCTATATTTTCATAATAGCTTTAAATGTGTTGATTGCATGGAGTGTCAAGATTAGCAATGCATTATTTATATACTGAATATGCACATTAATTTATTTTTAGCACTGATCATTTTTAAAATAAAAGCAATTCCTTGATATTTCTCAATATCCAATTTTTCTCAATTTCCAATTTTTCAGATAAGCTGTTATTTGCAGTGCAATGGATCACTGGTTTTTTTTTTAGAGAAACCACATTTTTGGTTAAGTAAGCAGATCTTATCATTAGGTGGTTGTTTCAGAATCAGACAAGGAGAGGTAGAGAGCGGTGACAAATTCTCAGGAGCTAAAATGTGTATAGTGCCCTGAAAGATGCTGCTTGTTGCGGATGCGGTGAGATTCAGATGTGACTTGATGTAGCCTGTTCTCTTCCTCATGAATGGGAATAAATGGACAATTCACCATGGCCCAATAAGATTTAGAAAGGTTGTAGATAAAATTGGATGGGTCGTGGCTTATTCACCTCCATTTCCTTGTAACATGTTTTTCCAATACATATATAAGGCTACACTAAGTAGGGTAGGAGGAAAGAAAGTGCAGTGTAGCCTCATTTTCTGCTGCCTTTCTAGGGATAGTTTCAAAAGCAGTGAAGAGGTGGTTAATACTTCATTAATTTTCTCAACATTGCTTATGTGATACAATTAACTGGAAGGCATTAGCCTGAAGCTAATATTAAATCCAGTTGAGTCAATTTAAATGGTTTGTATAAGCGTTACAACTCAATGGGTTGTGTGAACAGAGCCACTGCATTTTTGGCTCTTGTTCCTTTTTTCCTACCAAAACATTTTTGTTCATCAGTGAATTTTGTGCACCAGTTGATTATGCTGTTATTTCAGATGACTTGCACATTTCCCCTAGCAAATGAGTTCAGGGTTATAGATTGACAGTTATCTCTATGAATTTATGTAGTCACACCATACCCCAAAGGATTTTGCACAAATTGATTTTAGCAATAGCAATAGTACTTAAGACTTATTTACCACTTCATAGTGCTTTACTGCCCCCTCTAAGCATTTACAGAGTCAGCATATTGCCTCCAACAATCTGGATTCCTAATTTTACTGACCTTGAAAGATTAGAAGGCTGAGTCAGCCTAGATCCAGTCAGGATCAAATTGTTGGCAGTCAGCAGAGTTAGCTTGTAACACTACATACTGTGCCACCACAGCTCTGTAAATGTTGGCAGAAAACTTTTCAGACATCAGATTTTAACACTATGGTGGACAAAATACAGAACAAGAGCCAGGTTTTAAAATATTTTTGATAAATCAGGAATGTTTTTCCAATCTACAGTTGGATTTCTGTACTGAAACCTAGTTTGTTTCACAGTACATCAACTACTGTGGGCTAGGTTCATGCAGTAACTAGATGGATGCTTTGGATTTCTCTAATGGTCCCAATCCTTCTCTCCACTGTTATGCTGGAGTGCAGAAATTCTTTTGCCCTGAGGAGCACACTGGGCCTTTAAGTGGCATATCAGTGAAAGACCAAAAGTACTTGGAATCAGGATAAAATGTTCAAGAACTTTTGTTGTTCCCTTCAGGGCACATAATATTAACAATTATACTTGTATAGATGGGTTCCAGTAAGTCAGTTTGCACTTTTGTATTACTCTTCATTAAATCTGCATTTTTATTTGACAGGAAACCAAAGCTGTAAATGTAATTTAATCGTCGCTGTCACTCCCAGATTCACTCAACTGCAAGTCATTTCCTGTTGTTAAAAAAAGAGAATTATTTTAATTTCCAATTAAATTCTACATTGATGAATTATGAAATGTTGGCTATCAGAGACATCAAGAGCAAAAATAGGCAGCAATTTTATAAGACCATTAAAGAGTTTACTCCAAGTTGATTAGTTTTTGGTATTCTATTATTTCTCTGTTCCTGGTGTTCTTTGGCATGATTCATGACAAGCCCAAATGTTGCAATGATTCCTGTGCAAATCATAAACTCATAGCTTTCTTAAATAGAGTTTAGGGTTTTTTATTTGTTCCACCAGACTCAATCCAATAATGGTACTTTGAACAAACATGAACTGAAGAAACTGTATCTTAACTGTATTTTAGTTTCTTTAGACTAAAACTGAATCAGTCAGAACAACTGCCCTAAACTATAAGGCTATGCTGAATAATGAAAATCAGTACTATCTATAGAAAGATTGTGACATAAAGATTAACTATTAAGTGTATAAATGAAGTATGTCTTGGAAAAGAAAAATTTAGCTTAAACATTTAGCTTAGGGTTGAACTGTGGAGTCCTTGGTATTCCCTGATTTTGACTGTTTGCTTGCAGCTATAACAGCCACTCTGATGGACAGACAAGAAGACTAGCAGAGTGCATGTATGAACACTAACTGGTAGTCAGAAGACACTCATTAATCTCACAACATGTGTACAGACTCAACCATAACTTCAAGTGAGAAACTGTGAGCATCCTAGGCCAAACTAAATCCAGTATCTCTAGGGAATTCCCGGAAGCTTAGCATTCAGGCAAATCAGTCATTAAAGATATATACAGAGAATCACATTTACAAATCATTCAGGAGATAGTAAAAAACCTAAGGAAGAAACAAAAAGACCAGAACACATCCTTTCCAGCAGTCAATACCCAGAAAAGCAGAGATTAATACCAGACAAACAAGCAGAAAGCAATATCCTACCCAAGGAACCCATGATCTTCTGACAAAGAGCCTCGATGGTACAGTGGTTAAAATTAGGTGAGCTGCTGGGGATTCGCAGGGGTTCAGGAAAGCCCTTAGCTAAGATTCTGTACAGTTCGGAGAACCCCCAAATCCCATTGTTGGCTGGCCCCACCCCGCCCAGGAGTCCCCGCATGGGCCGTTTTGGATGCAGGTGAGTGCAGGGCATGCACAGAGGCTCAAGGGTGAAAAAGGGGTCTCCTGGAAGCTCAGGAAGACCAGAAATGGGCCCGTTTCCAGCTTTCAGAGAGACTCTGGAGCCCCAGAAGAACTAAAGCACCCCGCCATGGTGCCGGAGGCCAACTAGGCCATGGCCACGCCCACCCAGCAACCAGGCAGAGAACCCTTTGCTAAAAATTTTGAAACCTACCCCTGGTTAAAATGAAGCATTGTAGGAAAACTCTGCCCACACCTTGGGGTTTGAGCCTGATAGGGCTCAAGATTGACTTAGCCTTCCATTTTTCTAAGGTTGGTAAAATGAACCAGATTGTTGGGGGCAATATTCAAATAACACTTCTATATTGTAAACTAAATAAAGCACTCTAAAGCACTACTGGGTGTTGTATAAGTTTAAATGCTATTGCTATTAGCCAATTAATGAAACATCTGCAAGCAAACAATCAATTTAGAGACTAGCAAGGACTCAACAGAAAAAAGGGTGTTTGTGAGTAATGTGCACAAATATCATTGTTATCTGCAGTCTCATATCCACAAATAATTATAGAAACTAAGCCTACAAACATTTTTGTATCTGCAAAAAATGTAAATGTTAACACATGGCAAAAAAGCAGACAAGCTTTGGTGGATGCATAAATATATTTTTGAAAGGATTATATCATCTAAGCAACCTGTCTATACTTGTTCTTCCTTCTCTCTTAGTTGCAACTAGATTGTAAGAATTTAAGTAGCTTATGACTTTTATAACCTTTCAAATTGCTTTTCTAGCAGATGGTGGGAGTTACCTGTATTATACCATATTGCTTCCCCACTCCCTGCAGTTGTTTCAGGATCTCTAGTGAACAACCTCTTGAATGTGCCACTGGATGCTCATCTTCTCCACATATAATTTATGAATTACTGATTTCCATAAGTTATGTGTGGGCAACATTAATATCTAGCAGCATGACAGAAATTAATGCAAGCAAGTTGTAGGCAGCATCACCATTTTATGGGGCTTCTGAATTCTAATGATGCTTACAGACTATTCCCACAGTAGGACTCTTGAAAGAGGCTAGTTGCCAAAAGGGTGCCACATGGATCCATCCTGATTGAGCTGATCCAATGGGATGCAGTTCAATTGGGCATGAAAGATGAGGGAGTAGAGATGATTACACAGACAACTCCTATGGGAGGTTAACCACAGATTCTTGTACATTACTCCTCAATTCCTATAGATAAAAAATCTTGTTATTTTAGTATTGTTTTCCTTCAGGAATGAGGACAACTTGTACATAGAGCAGCCTTCCTGAGCTTTATGCCCTCATTAAATCTTGGTTTACAGTCCTCATAATTTCCAGGTTGCACTTATGTTGTATGATTTATATTGTATAATACTTAAGTGAAAATAAACTTACTGAGAGTATTCATGAGTTGATTGTTGCCTTGTGCCCTGCCAGTACCATTGGCAATCACATTTTTATTATTACACTGCTGAGAAGGAGAAGGATGTGCAGTTTCACCCCCATCAGTGCTGGAAGTTTCATCACAGCTCCCAGAGGAACTCTCAGATTCAGATGAACTGCTGCTACTACTGCTACTCATCTGCTCAATAATTTCAACCTCAGCTCTTAGTTCTAGAATAAAAATAGGAGGGTCATTTTTAAAGTTTAATTATTCATTAAAATATAGCCTGAGTTTTCTTAAGAAGTTCAAGATCATATAGATAGCACTTTTCCCTGTATGGTTGATTTTGCCCTAGGACTGAGATTCTAATTTTAACTTAACTATAATGCCCCATTGGATCTCAATTATTTAGCCTACCCCAATAGTCCATGGTTTTAAAAGATGTAAGTCTTAATTAAATTAGATTTGGTTTCAATTAATATAATTGTGAGGTGGCTGGGTGGTATAAGTTGTGCTGCCATTGGAAAAATATACTGAATGAAATATACTGATGGGGGAGTAATAGATTTTCTTTCCATCTCAGACATAGGTAAGCTATAATAAGTGTTCTACCTCTTTTAATATCATCCAATTGAGGCTCTGGTGAAGGATTGTCTTTCATTGGTGAAGTTTTAGGTCCAGCTGCAGGCTTTGTAGGAGCTCTGAACTGGATGGAAGATTGTGCAGCTCGAGTAGATTGCTGTTCTATTCGTGCTTGGATTTTACTGCTGCCTTCAGCTCTGAAAGGAAATGTTTAAAACAGATAACATGTATAATATGTAATTGCTTTCCATAACTTATCATAACCTTAATGTATTTTGAGTCATGTTATTTAATTATCTTAAGAAAAAGAAGCCTTTACTACTGGTCTCATATTAGAAATAAATCCAATCCTCCCTTTCAGCCAAAGAACCTTTATATCTAATGTAATTGGGTCCATTCTGCAAATGTTATTCCCTTACATTGCTTCTCTTTACAGAACAATTTTTCCAATTCTAATCCTTCTTGGTAACTGAGGGAATTAAGGAATTAGGATTGGTACAGTCTTTTGAGAGAGATGGGCATCTTAGAAATATGATAAACAAAATCTAATTTCTACTCTCTCATTTTCTCTGGTCTTACTAAATTTTAAACCAGAGTTGTGTAAATATATAATACTAATGTACCACTTATGGAACTACTAAATTCCTGTTCTTTAAATTGGAGAAGGAAAATTAAACTTTCCCAAGAATGTTTACAAATTGAAAACATCACCTAGCCTAGGTCAGGGGTGTCAAAGTCACAGTCCGTAGGCCAGATGCATCATGTGCTGCCCCCCCGCCCAGTTTAGCGAAGGGGAAAAAGCCACCATGACGTGAGTTTGACACCCCTGACCTAGGTCATTTCTTCAGTAACTTTACTAATGATTGATAAGTTCAGTGTTGATTAATGTTAAAACATTAATTAATATTAATATGGAGAGAAAACATATTGGATATACTTGAAGTAGCCATTTCACTTAAGAGTGGAGGCTAAAGACTATGTACTAGATTAGGTTTCTTCTCATCATTTTGATATTTAATGTTTATTATTTTATATAGTCAAGATAAAAGCAGGAGATAAAAGAACAGTTTATTTCAGAAGAAATTATACTTTGTGCTGATCCATATTGGCCCCATATGTTTGTGCCTGTGTTACCTTGTCTTTTTGACTTGAATGCTGGTGCTTAGCTTTTCAAGCACATATTCTCCAGTATCATGGTTAATAATAAGTACACAGTCTTTTTGGTAAGGTCTTTTGTTTCCTTTGAATACAGTCATTGGAGGTGTAGAACCCTGATGTTCAAGAAAAGTAAATAATATATTTAAATCTAAATAACTATTTATGTGCAGGTCAAGAAAATCAAATATAATAAATAGCATAATCAATGCTAAAATCCAACTCAGAAGATTATGCTTTAATTGGTATTTTCTTGATATTTTGTTCTATGATGGTCATTATTATATTTTTGATGCAAGAAAAATCATATTTACTTTGGCAAAATTCAGTATAGAACTTGCTATTTACAAAAATGATTTATTCATTTGCTAATTTAAAAAAAACCAATTGTCTGTATACTGAGTTTGCTACAAGGAAGAAACATCTGAAATTAGAATAACACTGCTCATAAACCAGTAGGGAAGTATTTGTTGATTTTGCTACAATAGATTAATATGGCTAACTTGGTGACTATAAACACTTCATATTAAATATTCTTCTCAATGCAGATAGGCAATGCAACAAAATCTTTTATTTATAGTTCAGAATATAGTTTACCAAAAAAATCAAACAAAAGGATAGTTATGCTTCAATATCTCAAACAAATATATCATCAATATTATTTATATCCAATATCAGAAATAGATTTACAGAACTTAACATAATTCTAGAGAATGCAGAAATATTATTTTATGAATCCTTCAATATTCATTAAAATTCATATATAGCCAAAATAATATTATGCAATGAAAACAATGATCCAATGTTTTAAATATAATATCTACTCTGTTTCTCCAACAATATGGCCTCCCCCAATAGGAAGTCCCAGCATGTTTTATAGGCATGAAATGAAATTAAGCCCCTCACCCAAATTAAGGCCTATATTAAAACATGCGAAATGGGGGGAATGGTGGGGGGGGCTTGCCATTAGGAAGTACTTTTGTTGCACACCCAGATATGGTGCTGCCTGTGTTGACCCTGATATGAAGTGCCCCACCAACGCTGAGGTCAACATCCAAGCCGTCGCCGCCCGCCCGAAGATGCAAGTGGGAGGGAAAGACGGCCTAGCCATTTTTTCGGGGCTCAAAAAAAAAAAAAGACCTGGCCTTATTATATGAGAAACACGGTATATAGAAAGTCGCCAGAAATTGAGAGGGGTACATATTTGCTTTAGATTGATTATTGCAAGTGTGCATGCCCTGAAACATCAGACTATTATAAACTTCACAAGCACACACTAATCTTTATATAGATTCCATATAAGTCTGAAATTTTTTTTTTGTTAAGGACCTGCCTCAACTATCTTCTCAGGAAAGCAGGACACTTGGTAGTTAAAAAGAAAACTTTTACTGAGACAAAGTGATTGCAGAGAAGTCAGCGGAATCTGAAGTTTCCACCCAAGCATTAAGCTATTTTTCCCTCTTCAAACCCCACCCCAATTCCTCAGTCCACAAGTAGCCAATAATATGTTGCAAAGGTGTTTTGAGAACTCCGAGCCGTTAGCTTGATAGTAGTTCACACTCAGGGTGCTGTGATCTTGGAAAGCTAGAACCAGCTGGGAGGAAGCAAAGCCCATCCATTGCCCACTCCCTAAATCTCATGCATTACAGCAAAAGTGAAAGCATGCAAATAATTCAGTTCCAACAACTTGCTCCCTCCTCCCTCAGAATGGCAGCATCCCTAAGAGGGCTTGACAAAAGTACTATAAATCCTATATAAAGATGCATTATATTGATGATTTGGTTCATTAATCCAGCAGCATCTTTCTTCAAGCTTGCCTGGAAATCAGAAGTGCTTATTTCAATGATACTGCAAAAAGTTGTATTTGTAGTCACAGGCCAACATATTTATTTGCAATTATTCTCAAAGAATGCACAGCACATTCGACAGACAGTTGTTAAAAATGATGTTCTCTTAAACAAGTGTTAATTCCCACAAATTGTTTTTATGAAGTATGTCATGCTCCCCTTGGCTACATATGAAAAGTTCAGAGCAAAGCTTGTAAGAAGCTTGACACAGAAGGCAAATCCCCAATATAACATATGATAAACTTACAGGAATATGTGGTAATGTAATTGTGACTTCATCTCCTTTACCAACTTGAAGTTCCCCTTCACAAGATGTATCTATAGATGCTGGTTTAAAATCATCTAGAGGATACAATAATTGATATTAAACATACATCAGATTATAAAGGATGTTTTATGAGTATTTATTTATAAACAATCTTATTACTACTTGAATTTTATTCTTTTCACTGGCATTCAAAAATAATTTTGGAGCCATCTTAAGAGTGAATGTGCAGAATATGAATTAAATTGAATTATCACCTTATAATGTTCTTCTGCTAATATTCATTCTTTGTTAGCCAATACTCTAACACAGCATACTTCATTTTTTATCTGCTATATCTATTATCTGCTATAAAAAATAAAAAATGAAAAGTCTTAATTTTAAAAAAAATTATTGACCCATTTTTCTTAAAGTTCACCTATAAGGCCAGTTTTTGTTTTAAATGGCAACTCTGTAAGTGGCCAACTCTACCAACTTTTTTCTAGAAATGTTCTTTCCTGGTGCTCCGAATAGATATTAATCAATATCCTGTGCTATTAACTGTAATTATAAGTTTTAACTTGCCTTTTTCTTTGAGTGTTGGAAATTATGATTCCCCTCTCTTCTAGGAAAACATTAGAAGGGGAAGGAAAATTCCCCTAAAAGGAAGGGGAGGTGAAAACACAAGCAGGGACAGCTCCATTAGCCCCCACCTTTGTATGGGATACACATTAGCTAGGATCCTTTCCCACAGAAATCAAATAGATAGCAAGCTACACAAAACTTGTGAAAAGCAAACAGCATAACAGGAAGCTCAGGGTATTGCAACCAGGTGCAAACTGATAGCTACAAAGGATCAGAGAAAAACAGATTGGACTATAAAACAATTACTCCTACCAAGATCCCAGGAAGAGATTCCAATCTCAAAAAACAGGAACTTGAACACAAATCAAAGTCTTCAAAGATTCACACCTACAAATCAAAGAACTTGAAGTGTATAAGAGAGAGGTTTTCCTACTCACTTATTAGATTAATCCTAGGAACACTGTGAGATTTCTTTTAAAAAAAACTTTTATAGTTTTTTAAAGACAAACATAAACAAACACAACATAAAAACATCAAACCATCTTCCATATATGTACATACAATGTGTCGGTTGGTTTACAAATTGTTTTGTGCTTCCACTTCATAGTCTTCAATTAGAATTACATTGTATATGTTCTCATATTGTCAATCAAATATTCCTAAATACATTAATATCTTTGTTAATCAATCATTTGACTATACTATTATTCATTCATGTTTTATGAAATAATCCATATTTTGCTTAATTTATTTTATGACAGTTCATATTTCCATCTCAAATCTATCCTATAATCATTTTGTAGATATAATTAAAAAATACATCTTAATATATTCATTATGTTCTAAAAATCTACATATTTCATTACCATTTTTATTGTCTAACCATTGATAGAATAGATCCCGAATTTTATAAAATTGTTTATCTTCTTGTTCTCTGATTTCAAATGTCAATCTACTCATTTCAACACATTCCATTATTTTCTTAATAACTTCCTCCTGTGTTGGTATTTTCTCATTTTTCCAGTTTTTAGCAAATATGACCCTAGCCGCTGTTAATACATTTACAATCAAATATTTCAATTCTTTACTATATATTTCAGGTATAATTCCCAATAAAAATAAATCTGGTTTCAAGTCTATATGCTTTTTTGTCATTTTTTCCAACCATGTGTGGATTTTAGTCCAATATTTTTTGGCATCCGTGCACGTCCATCACATATGGTAACATGAGCCAGGTATCTAATGACATTTCCAACATTTTTCAGATTTGTTCTTAAACATTCTTGCATATTTATTTCTTGAATGTTAGATATTAATTCTGTTGACATCCATATCATATCTATTCTGGACCATGATAAGTGTCTATTTGAATAGAAGATGTATTGTTTAGTTTTAGCATTTCTTTCTCTCCATGTATCTTTTAAATTTATTTCATCTATCATTTTAAAAAAGGATTTAGGGAGAGTTTTTGTTTTGCTTTGTTGTTTTCTGTGTTGTATAGTCCAATTTATTGTCTACAATTCCATTAAAGTTTCCCATCATAACTATACTAGCATAGTCCAGTTCAATTATTTTCATATGTAGTTTTCTATAAAATTCTTCTTGATTGTCGCTCAGGGGATAGATTACAATCAGGAGTGTTTTCATATTATTGTCCATTATTTCCACCATTAGTAATCTTCCATCGTCATCGATATAAATCAATTTCGCTGGGATATCTTTAATGTATAAAACCACTCCTCTTTTCTTGCATTGTGTCAAAGAAGTAAATATTTTCCCTAACTTTGGCTGTATCAACAGTTGTTCAAGTTGCTTTTTAATATGTACTTCTTGTAGGCAGATTATATCAAATTTTTATATCTCTAATTTATGGAAAGTTTTCCTTCTTTTAACAGCTGAGTTAAGTCCGTTTATGTTAATTGTAATCAGTTTTTTCTCTTACATGATTATACTTTATAAGTAGGTTTGGCAGCTCTCGTGGATCTTGGTTCACGTTGTTCTTTAACTTCCACCTTTCTGCCTACTGCACCTTCTTCTTTTTCAGTCACAATTTGGCAGTCTTCTTGGAATTCAATTAGTGACATTTCTTTTTTTGTCTCCTCCTCTTTCCCTCCAAAATATTCTGTATAAAATAATTCAGCTTTCTCAATTGAGTCAATTCTGTGTCTCTGTTCTTGCCACATGAACATTAAACCTGGAATCAGCCATCTATAATTCACCTCTTTTTAAAGTAGACTTTTAGTCAAGAATCGGTATTCTCTTCTCACCTCTCTCACTCTTCTGGGTATTTGTTTCAGGACCACAATCTCTTTATCTTTATATTTCAATGTTTTTTTTCTCTTGCCACTTGCAATATTTGCGTTTTAATGGCTTTCTTTGTAAATCTAATGTGAACTTCTCTTGGTAAGCTATTTGTCATTGCATATCTTGTGAAGATTCAAAAAACCTCATCTATTCCATCCATCATCTTCCCTTTGGTTATTTCCAGAGGTTCAGCCAAGATTTCTATCATTATCTCAGCTAGGTTTTGTCCCTTTTCTTCCTCTATGTTTTGGAATCTGAGATAGAATTCTGATCTGTCGATCTCCCATCTCAGCATCCCACTTTTATTTTGTTCAACCACAGTTAATCTGCTATCAATATCTCCAATCTTTTTGTCTCTTTGTTTATCTTCTTCTTCTTCAATTTTTTGGAATCTCTCATCATATTTCATCATCATTTGTTGAATGTTCTCCACTTTTTCATCAGTTTTTCCTGTTCTTTGTTCAACGTTCTCTGTCTTTTTTCAATATTCTCTGTTCTTGTTTGTATATTTTGAATTCCTTGCATAATCATCTGCAGCGTCACCTTTTCCTGTTCCTTTTCTTGTTGTAACATCATCTGTATTGAGCGTTGTCCTCCAGATGGTGAAAAGGAAGAAGTAGAAGTTGAAGAACCAGCCGCTGTTAGTTTCCTGCTCATTTCAAACAATTCAAAATTTTCAGGTTCTTCTAGACCTTAATCCACTCGTGAAATAACCAATTGTAATTCCAAGTAAAAATAGTGGGAAAAAAGAAGCCAAATAATAATAATAAAAAATTTCCTCAGGCTCTTGTATACCTTAATACAATCAATTAGTTAAATAGCAGTAAAAACTCAAAAAAGGAAAAAAAAACCATAAACAGAAAAAGGAAAAATTGTTAAATCTTGCAAGAGGTGGAAAAATAGAAAATAAAAAACTAAAGAAGAAAAAAAAGGAGTTCTTCAGGTTCTTCAACACCTTAATTCAATTAAAAAGTCTCAGGTATGAAAAGATATACAAAAAAAGAAAGTCACACAAAAAAACACCCAATATGGAAAGTAAATAAAAAAAATCCAGGGTAGGGAGAGAGGAAAAAGAAAAAAGACTACTCCCTTAAAAAAAAGAAGGAAAACATTAATACTAAGACTTTTCCTTTAAAATAAAATGCAAACGTAAAAATTAAGCTTCAAAAACAAAACAAAAAGAAAAAACAAGTTCCAAAAAGCCAAAGATCCAAATAGCTATTACAAAAATTAAGCTAATAAGGAGGGGGTTTTTAAAGTAAGAAATAGCCCGGCTTAAAAAAGTAAAAAGAGCACACTGCACCTTATTTAGTTATCCATGGCTTTTGTTAAATTTTATAACTCTCTTCTCTAGAGTCTTATTGTCTTTTTTCTCTGTAAACTTCAACACCAGTCTCCAACTACTGATAGAAACCCAGAAAAGCACCTGCAATAATACTCTCCCAATACTCTTCCCTCTATCCTATCAAACAGGCTCAAAGTCCTTGAAAAGAAGTCTCAGTTCTTTCTCAGCTTTGTCTGGTCAAGAGAAAAAAAAAGAGATACAATATTTCCAAGCCTCTAGTTGGCAGTGTTACAAAGTTTCCTCTGCTTTCATTTTCCCCCCCCTCCTTTTCCAAACAAGATATAATAAAAATTAATTAAAAAGGAAAAAAGATATTTAAAAAAAGACTACATACAGCATAAAATATTATAGTCAAAAAGGAGAAAAGACAAAAGAGAAGAAATAGGTAGAAAAAAAAACCAGTCCAGTTTCAAAGTATAAGATTATATATAAAAAGTCCAGCAAAGAAAAAAAAATATTAATTTGACTTCCTGTTTAAAATAGCTGCTTAGTCACTTCTGTCTAAGATTTTAGAGATTCTTTCTTTTCCTTAGGGTATCCTTTCAAATCTTAAAGTAAAGAAAAAATTCTCACCAAACTGGCATACTTTCTCTTTCCGTTCTCTTCCATTTCGGAGCTGTCCCAACTTCAGCAGCTTTAATGGCTGCCTCTTTGGTGCTGGCAAAAAGAGCTTCTCCTGGATCTACCAGGGACTTTGCGGTATCCCTGGGATCGACAGGATGCGCTTTTTACATTCACTGTCTCTTTGGGACGGTTTAGATCCGTTTGGACCGTCCAGGAGCAAAGGTATCGGCAGCGATCTCAGACCTCCAAGATCGCATGCTGTATTGTCACGACGCCAGCTCCGCCCTCTAGGAACGCTGT